CAGAAACAGAAAAATGCTTGGTTGGTGAAAGAAAGAATGGGGACTAAGGGATGTGCCAGGTCACTCAGGCAAAAGAGACAGAGGTATATTGCTGTTTTTCCTGCCCGATCCATTGGCATGGTCCCATCAAGAGGCATTTCCTCTGGACCTCAGAACATGTGTGGGCTTGAAAGAGCTTCTACCCCAACATACAGTGGAGAGAAGTCATCCTGTCAGGCATCTGATTATCTACCCTGACTGCAAGAGATTGCTATAGCCAAAAGGGAGCGAGAGGCAATCGATTGGAATCAGCTCTTTAAATGGTTCACTTTTTTTTTTTGGTGAGGAAGATTGGCCCTGAGCAACCATCTGTTGCCAGTCTTCCTCTTTTTGCTTGAGGAAGATTGTCACTGAGCTAACATCTGTGCCAATCTTCCTCTATTTCGTATGTGGGATGCCACCGCAGCATGGTTTGATGAGCGGTATGTAGGTCTGTGGCCAGGATCTGAACCCGTGAACCCCAGGCCGCCAAAGTGAAGCATGTGATCTTAACCACTATGCCACTGGGCCAGCCTCTAAATGCTTCACTTTTTTAATAGTAGCTATTACTGATTATGCACTTACTATAAGCCAAGCACTGTGCTAAATGCTTTAGATTTATTAATGCATTTAATCCTCACAAAAACCCATGGAACAGCCACTATAATGATCCCCATTTTACAGGTGAGGAAACCGAGGCACCGAATGTTTAGCTAACTTGCTGTTGATCACAGCTAGTTAGTGGGCAGAGCCAGGGCTCAAACACAGACAGTCGGGCTCTGAAGCCCATGCTCCTGATCATACGCAGTCTGGCGTTTTATTTGTTTTCTGATAGACTTTACTTTTTAGAAGAGTTTTAGTTTCACAGCAAAATTGAGCAGAAGATACAGAGATTTCCCATCTACTCCCCGCTTCTACACACGCACAGCTTCCTTCACTGTCAACATCCCCACAAGAGTGGAACATTTGTTATAACCGATGAACTTACCTTGGCCCATCATTATCACTTAGAATCTGTAGTTTACGTTAGGGTTCACTCTTGGTGTCGTATGTTCTGTGGGTTTGGAGAAATGTATAATGACCTGTTTCCACCATTACAGTTTCACACAGAGTAGTTTCACTGCCCTAAAAATTCTGTGTTCCACCTAATCATCCCCCCCTCCCTGCAACCAGTGATCCTTTTGCTGCCTCCGTCGTTTTGCCTTTTCCAGAATGTCATATAGTTGGAATCATACACTAGTAGCCATTTCAGATTAGCTTCTTTCACTTAGTAATATGCCTTTAAGTTTCCTCCATGCCATTCCATGGTTTGATAGCTCATTTCTTTTTAGCGCTAAATAACATTTCATTGTCTGGATGTACCACAGTTTGTCCATTCACCGACTGAAGGACATTTTGATTGCTTTCAAGTTTTGGAATAAACCTGCTGTAAGTATTCCCATGCAGGCTTTTATGCAGACATAAGTTTTCAACTCATTTGGGTAAATACCAAGGAATGCAATTACTGGATCATATGATAAGACTATGTTTACCTTTGTAAGAAACCACCCGCTGTCTTCCAAGTGGCTGCCCCATTGCATTCCTGCCAGCAAGGAATGAGAGTTCCTGTTGCTCCACATTCTCGCCAGCATTTGGTGTCATCAGTGTTCTGGATTTGGGCCATTCTCCCAGGTGTGTGGTGGTATCTCATTGTTGTTTTAATTTGCAATTCCCTAATGACATATGATGTGGAACATCTTTTCATATGCTTATTTGTCATCTATCTTCCTTGATGGGGTATCAGTTCAGGTCTTTTGCCTATTTCTTAATTGAGTTGTTCACTTTCTTATTGTTGAGTTTTACAATACAGCATTTTTAAGGGTGCATTTATGGCGTCATAGAATGTCAGGGATGGAAGGACTTCAGAAATGATGCAGTCTATTCCCCTCACTTTACAGATGTAAAAAACAAGGCCCAGAGAAACTCCAGTGGGGCACAGCTGGGACCAGAGCCCAAGAGTTCAGTGCTGCTTCATCAGTCCGTGTCGTTGGGCAGTTTCCTCTGTGAGCACTTAGCTCCCCAAGGACAGGAGTCACACCTGACCATCTGTCTGTCCTTCCCTCACACTGTGCCTGGCACACATTCAGTGACTGTCTGTGGGAGGGAGGAAAGAATGACTTTCCTCAAGCATTGATACTTTCCAAAGGGCAGCCTTCTCTGACTCTGCTCTAATCTGTGAGAGAGGGAGAGAAGAGAATTAACATTCTAGATCTTTCACGGTGCAATGGTAGGGGCAGAGACCAGATCAGAACGTAATTCTTAACCTTGGCTGTGTGCCAGCATCACCTACAGAGCTTGTTAAAAACCGGATGCCTGAGCCCCATCTCCAGAAGTTCTGATTTCGTACATTGTTTCACTGTTCACTGTGCACTAGATCCCGCGATAAGCCCTTTACACACATTATCCTATTGAATCCTTCCTCTTGCCATTCTATGATGTGGGCCATATTATCATCCTCACTCTTCAGATGAGGAAGCTAAGATTCAGAAAGGTTAAGGAACTCACCCAGGGTAACACAGCTAGTATGTGCTGAAGCTGGCATGCAAATAAAAACAACCGAGAGTTGTCGGTCAGCCTCTGTCCCACACATGTGTGTGCATGCACACACGCACTGAGGTCTTTACACTCAACCTTGTGCAAACCCTGCATTTTGAGCCCCAGGAAGCTAAAAGGCAAGGACACAAGACCCCCCAGAAGGCTGCCAGGAGAAAGCTCTTCCCAGGGGTGTGACCACAGGACAGCCCATGCAGAGGCCCTGCGAGCTATATGTGAGGCCCAGAATTACAGTCCATCAGCTCCCCCGAGAACAGAGCTTGTGGACGCCTGCACCTCTGTTCTAATTTGCACACTGTTCAAAGAGAGCCCTCACTCTTTTATTTTTCTAATACTTAAGCGAATTTTTTTTATTGACATACACCATACAAACAAAAAAGGGCACAAATCTTACATGTACACCTTGACAATGGTCACAACGTGGAAACATCTGATAACCTGCTCCACTTATTTTAAGTAACATCTTTAGGCATCTGCAGTTATCTTAAGGGGTTTCATTGAAGACTTCAAAGCAAACATTTTGTTAATTGAATTTCATATCACAGATAAATGTCCTTTTACAAAACAGATATTTTTTTTTTCCTTTTTCTCCCCAAAGCCCCTGGGTACATAGTTGTGCATTTTTCATTGTGGGTCCTTCTAGTTGTAGCATGTGGGACGCTGCCTCAGCATGGCTTGATGAGCGGTGCCATGTCTGCGCCCAGGATTCGAACCAGCGAAACCCTGGGCTGCTGAAGCAGAGTGCACAAACTTAACCACTTGGCCACGGGGTCAGCCCCACAAAATGGATATTTACAAGAATAAAAGAAACAGCAACTACCAAAAGCAACAGAGCATTGCAAATCTTAAAAGACTGGAAATCACTGTGTTGCTATTTTAAACTAAATTTGATCTTTTTAGGAGGCAGGTTGATATCTATTCCAGATAATTAAACCCTGGAAGTGGTACCTGTTACGCAGGGCGTGCAACGCGGGATGGCCACGAAGGGGAGGGCCCTCTCTCCTGGCCCTACTTCTATTTCCTATGGTTAAGTTCGTGCATCTCACCATATGCGCGTGCTTCCCAGTGGTCCGTTCACAGCACTCAGACTGACAGCCGGCGGGCCAGTGGTTCCAGCACAGACTCGAGGAGCAGACCACCTGAGCTTGTCAAATCCAGGTTCTCCCACAGCCCGGCTCAGTGACCCGGGGCAAGCCACTTACCCTCCCCAACATTGGTGCCCTCACATTCAAAATGAGTCCTTGTCTGTACCATCTGTGACTGTAGTGGGGATAAATGAGGCGTGTAAAGTGCTTGTCATGATGCCTGGAATGGATGAACTGTCCCTTAGTCCCTCTCAGGATAACCTGCATCCTGCTTCCTGGAAAATACGCAGGAAAGAGAGCAGCCAACTCAGATCCCGCACAAAGCAGGGGGTGAGGGAGACAGGGAAGCGGAGTCCATGAAATATTCCTCCTCCATTTGGAGGACATTTGCCACCTGCCTTCAGGCCCTGACTCAGAATGCCGAGGGGCAAGCTTACTCCTGCAGGTCCACCAAGATACTTCTGCGACGAGCCAGAAATAAAATATTGATTTTTGAGGTTGAGTCTGGAAGCCCAAGGTGTCAAAGCCAGAAATGCGATGGTCCCTTCATCTAGAGGGTCTCTCAGCTCAGCCTCAATCAACGCTGGCGGCCAGGAAGGTGTCAGCTTGCCTTCAGAAACACCCAGATCAACAGGAGATCCGCTCAAGGAGAGGTTGCCATGACAACGAAGGGGCCAGGTGGGCTGGTAGAATTTGAACCCCTCACCCCCCGCCCCCCCACACACACTTGCACACACCACACGCTCAGACCCACCTTGGAAGGGCTCGCAGAACCCGCAGAAGTTGGGTCCGATGGTTAGGAGAGAGCATGTGGCCCTGCTGCTGGTCTCTCCACAGGTCACTCCAGGCTCATGGCTCCTGGAAGCCTTGTTAGACTGTGCTTGAGGGGGATAAGGTGCTCGCAGGATAATTGCCCTCCCAAAATAGCTCACTGGAAATGAACAGCCTTAGGGACCCTAAGCATCAGGTGAGAAGCTCACCTGGGGTTCATCAAGGCCTCAGGGCAAAGGGGCCTGAGCCAATTCAATGCTTTCATCCTGCCCCTCTCCTCCCTGCGCCCACTCCTCCCTCAGGACTGGTCTATTAAACTCTCCCTACTCGGGAGGTATAAGACAAGGTTTAGAGGGTTGTACTTCCCAGGGCCTTTTGCTTTTTTTTTTGAGGAAGATTAACCTTAGCTAACATGTACTGCCAATCCTCCTCTTTTTTTTTTTTTTTTGTGCTGAGAAAGACTGGCCCTGAGCTAACATCCATGCCCATCTTCCTCACTTTATATGGGACGCCTACCACAGCATGGCTTGCCAAGCAGTGCCATGTCCACACCGGGGACCCGAACCAGCGAACCCTAGGCCGCGAAGCAGAATGTGCGCACTTAACCATTGCGACACTGGGCCGGACCCCCGGGGCTTTTGCATTTTAATGGAGACTCTTGAAAATTGAAATGCTTTCAGCCTCAAGGAATAAATCTCTTCACAGGGGAATTTTAAGGCTTGAGGGAGTGGCGATGGGGAGTAGGAAGCAGAAGGGAGGTGGCTGAGGGATCAGCTGAGAAACACCCTGACCAGGAAGGCTGTCGTCCAGGTTTAAAGTCCACCAGGCTTGGGTTTGAGTCCTCCCTGCATGACCTTGGGTAGGAGCCTCAGTTCCCATGTCTGTAAAATAGGGGCGTAATGCTCAACTCGTGTGACTGTTAGCACAGAGCCTGGCACGATGTCTGAAGGCCTCGAAGCAGGACCAGCCAAGAACACTGCTGTACGCCCCCAGCGAAGGACCAGGGTTGGCTCCGACAGTCTGGGCTGGGCTGGGGTGTTTACCAGTAGAACTATGTCCAGCTACCAGGGTTTGACAATGGTAGGAGAGGGGCCTGAAAGAAGGAACAATTAAATAGCCAATAGTTTGATGCACTTATGGTTACAAGCTGTTTTTTTCTTTCCATAGGAGAGACTGAAAAAATGGGAAAGCACTAGGCACTTAGAGTAGGTAAGAGAGAAGGCGCTAAAGGAGACAGAGAAAGGGAGGCAGTGAGGGCCGCCTGCCCAGTCACTGCTCAGCCTGGCGACCCCCAAGACACAAGCCCTGCTGAGTAAAGTGCTTGAGCTGTGGGCACAGGACTCGTGTCTCTGCAGGATATTTCTGGCAGTGGCAGTGGCTGGGGTTAGAATCAGTGGTGTGTGACAGTCTATACCACACAGTTATCGACTGTTGCTCTAACTACAGTGGGTTGGCTTTAATCAAGCTGGTGTAGCTGCCAGACACAAAGGATGCTGGGCTAGAAGATCCAGTGGGTCTGCGGAGATCGAGATTCGAGACCAGCCCCCTGTGTCCCCACCGCTAATAACACTTGGCGGCCTTTGCTAAAGGCTCGCCACCCTTGTCTTCAGGGCAGCGCTGGGGTGGAGCAGAGAGAGGCTGGCCCCCTCCCAGCTCTCCCACTGCTGGCTGGGTGACGGGGACCATTCACTCAGGTCTTGAGCCTCAGCTGCCTCGTCTGTGTAATGACAGGATAATTCTACTTGGATAAATTGTGAGATTAAAAGGCAAGAATATGAAGCCACTAGTGCAATACACAGGGACATACAGGTACTCAACAAACCAAAGAGTAGACTCTCCCCATCCTTTTCTCCTTCTTTCTACTCCCCTGCTGGCATGCTACCCACAGCGAATAACAGAAAATCTATCTAACAATGGACTCAATAGGTGTTCGTTTTCCTCAAATAAGGAGAAGTCTAGAGATAAGTAGCCGCTCTTTCTGGTTCTGTGGCTCAGCAACAACTGGACTATTGTCACTTTGATTCTGTTGGCCTTTCCCTCATGATTAAAACATGGCTACTGCAGCCCCAAGCATCGCAGCTCAATTCCAGGCAGAAAGTAAAAGAGAAGAGGGGCAGCACCAGCTGTGAGTCCCTTCGATAAAAAAGGAAAAATTTTCCCAGAAGCCCCCAGCAGGTGTCTCATTGGTATGGCTGTGTCACATGGTCACTTCTAGGGGCTAGGAAGGCTGGGAAAGCAAGCCAGCCTCTATAGTGGAGGCAGGCAAGGAAGGAAGAAAGAAATGAAGAAAGGGCAGTGGAATCAGCCAAGCCACAATGTTGGCCACGGTCAGCTTAAATACAATGTATTCATTTTCATTCATTCAACACGAATGAGTATCAAGGTGAATATGGAGCACCTACTGTGTGCTGAGCTGCATGCTGGAGAGGACTGATGAGTAAAATCAGACTTGGTGCTGGGGGTGACGAGCACGTGACATGTCTACATGCAAGGGGTTGTGGGAGCAGCACCAGATTCTGGGGCTGGGGGTAAAGAAGACTCCTGGATGGGTGCCGACAGTGACCAGGAGTAAGCCAGGTATTGGGAGTGGAGGGGGGCAGGCAGGCTGCTCACGTGGTGTTCCAGGCAGAGGGAACAGCATGTGCAAAGACCTAGCAGTAAGAGCGATGATGATCATAGCAGGCATTCAGGGAACTGAAAGAAGTTCCCTGAGGCCACCACAGTTTATTCAAAGAAGAAAGATCAAGTGCAGGGCACGCAGATGTGAAGTGAGTAAATTTGAATAGCAGGACCATTAAACCGTCCCTTCCCACGGGGGAGAGAAAGTACGGGGGCAGCCTCTTGAAACACAGAGGCTGCAGGAGAAGCAGAAAGGTTTGGGGAGCTGCTGCGGACAGACTCACCTCCCTCCCCAGCATGGCGTGGACATTTGGGAGAGGAGAGACTCCAGACCGGGCAGGCTGGGTCCTGCAGCCAGGGCGGGGTCTCTGCCTTCAGAGACTGGTTTGCTGCAGCCTTAGCAGGCGCTGTGCCGCCCACCTGGAGTTCCGTTCCCCAAGTTCTCACGCTCCTCACTCCCACCCCCTCCTCACTCTTCCGATTTCACTTCTGGCCACACGTCCTCAGGGTGGGCTCCTCTGACCAGCCCCAACCCTGCAATACGCCAGCTCAGGGACGGTCCATGCTCTGGGACCTCCACCTTGTAGCTGTTGGCACAGTTGTAATTTTACACTTATGTGTGGATTTTTTTTTTAACTAATTAGACTGTTGCTCATGGTAGACCATCAGCTCTATGAGAGCAGCGACCAAGGCTGGTTTTGCCCACAGCTCTATCCCCAATACCTACCATTGTGCCTGGCATGTGATAGGAGCTCCATGCATAGGAAGAGCCAGACTGTATCAAACTGACAATATCCAGCCATTTTTGACCTATAGAATGACAATTTCATATGATTAGTCCTAATATTAACTGAATGGAGGAACGAGTGAATGAATTCTGAGCACTGTCCACTGCAGCATGGAGTTCAGTACAAGACGGGTCCACCTTGGGCCTGTTCCAATGGCAGGCTTTCCTGAAATTACAGAGAACTGAGGATCTGGTCCCTGGTCAGGGTCTGGACTTGAGCAGCGCTTCTCACTTCAGCGTGCATTCAAAGGCCCTGGGGATCTTGTTAATGTGCAAATTCGGATTCAGTGGGTCTGCGGTGGGGCCCGAGACTCTGCATTCCTATAACAAGCTCCCAGGTGAGGCCGATGGTGCAGCCAGAGGGAGGGAGACCAAAATGCAGGCTTGGAGCTGGTTGATGGGTGTCCTCTGTGCCAGACCAAGGGGCTCCCACTAAGGCTCCTCTCTCTTTTCTTTCTCAGCCAACACAAAATTCAGAAATTCATTTGAAAAGGCATGGGACCCCCAGTCCTTGCTGTGGTGTCTCCATTGTACGGGAGAGAAGCTGAGCAGCTGTCACGTACAAATGAACTTTCCAGATCACTGAAATGTAGCCCTCCACGTGGTGGAAGTGTCTCTGATGTTATTAACTACTATCTTGCCTTCTTAAACAGAGTAAAATGGATGGCACCTGACTCTTGCCTTTTTTTTTTTTTCCCCCTTCTTTTAAAAAATTGCTGGTGAGGGGCTGGCCCCGTGGCCCAGTGGTTAAGTTCGCACTCTCTGCTTCTGTGGTGCAGGGTGTCACCGGTTCGGATCCTGGGCATGGACATGGCACTGCTCATCAGGCCATGCTGAGGTGGCATCCCACATGCCACAACTATAAGGACCCACAACTAAAAATATATAACTATGTACCAGGAGGCTTTGGGGAGAAAAAAGGAAAAAATTTTTAAATATCTTTAAAAAAAAATTGCTGGTGAAATATATCATATATATGAATAAAACATACATGTACAGTTTAAAGAATATAAATCAGATGAACACCAGTAGACCCAGTTAAGAAAAAGAATATCACAGTAGCACCTTAGCGGCCCCCTCCTTCCCCATCAGAGGTAACCACTACGCCAAGTTATATGTTAATAACGCCCCTGCTTTTCTGTATTGTTTTACCACATATGAATGTAGCCCCAAACAATATAATTAGTTTTGCCTGCTCTTAAACTTTACATAAATTGAATCCTACTTATGTATTTGGTTGTAACTAGTTCCTTTTGTTGAAGGTTGTGTTTTTTTGTTGCCATACGTGGCTGTAGTTTGTTTGTGTTCTCTGCTGTGTAATATTCCATTGCAGACACTACCATGATGCATTTATTCATCTGGCTGTTTGATGGACATAGAGAGATCTGAATACTATTACAAACAGTACTGCTAGGAATTTTCTGGCACGTGCGGAACTGCTGGGTCAAGGATGCTGCCCACGCTTGGCTTTACAAGGTGCTACCCGACCAGCTTCCTAGGTGCTTATTCTCCCACCAGCAGTGGAGGAATCCTCTTTGCTGCACGTGTTCACCAACCCTGGATACTGGCCCACTTTTTAAATTTTTCCTAACTTTTCCTGACATCCAGGGTTTTCGTGAATCACAGCCTGTGTCCGTTCGGGCTGCCATAACAAAATACCACAGACTGGGTGATTTGTAAACAACAGAGACTTATTTCTCACAGTTCTGGAGGCTGAAAGTCCGAGACATGGTGCCAGCATGGTGCGGTGAGGGCCCTGCCCCGGGTTGCAGACTTGTCACTGTGTCCTCACATGGTGGAGGGGCTCCGGTGATCTCTGGAGCCTCTTTCCTAAGGGCATAAATCTCACTCTTGAGGGCTCCACCCTCATGACCTAACCACCTCCCAAAGGCCCTGCTCCCAATACCTTCACCTTAGGCGTTAGGATTTAGCATATGAATTTTTTTTTAAGATTTTATTTTTTTCCTCTTTTTCTCCCAAAGCCCTCTGGTACATAGTTGTGTATTTTTTAGTTGTGGGTCCTTCTAGTTATGGTATGTGGGACATCACCTCAGCATGGCTTGGTGAGCGGTGCCACATCCGCGCCCAGGATTCGAACTGGTGGAACCCTGGGCCAGCAAAGCAGAGCGTGAGAACTTAACCACTCGGCCACGGGGCCGGCTCCAGCATATGAATTTTGAGGGACACAAACATTCAGACCACAGCACGCACTCCCCTCACCATCTCGGACTGGAGTGTACACAGGGCTTTCCTATTACATGAAATGGGCCCAGAGGCTGTGCTATGCTCGCCTGTCTTCTTTTTATTCTAGATCTGTCTCTGCCTGTCACACAAACTAACCCCCATCTTCTCATTCCTGTCAGAGCGTCGTCTCCAGCACCACCCCCAGGCCCCCGCTTCTAAGGTGAGCCTTCAAATCCTCTGTGGAATGGGAAGTCCTTCACCCAAATTTTCCCTTGAATTGTGTCTGCACAAAGAGTGAATGGCCTCTGAAGAAAGCTCTGATTGGCTCACCTGTGGGTAAATACCTCAGCTGTGTGTGGGGGGTGAGTTCGGTGTCATTTATTTTGGCCATGAACAGTCTTTTTTGTTTTGCTTTGAGGGTGGTTGTTGGTTTCTTCATCTGGTTTTGGGTGCTGTTTATTTTTGCTCCTTTTCTGGTTCGGACAGTGTTCCAAATAACCGAGGTTGCTGTTTCACTCAGCCCTGGATAAGTGAAGTGCTGTTGGCCTTTGCATATATTTATCATTTAATTTTGTATTAAATTCATATTTAATTTTGGTTACTGGTATCATCCCCAAATACCATGGCTTCAACTAGCAGATGGCACCCATCCCCGTGACAAGAGACACCAAATACTCCAAAGTACCTGATTCTGCCCCCCAGAAGCATGTTTAGAAATAAGGTTGTTGGAAAATTCTGACTTTGAAATGGAATCTGTGCCTTGTGTTGAGTCTGAGTTGACAGATTATTCATTGGACTTATTTGGTGGCAAAAACCAACCATCTTGGTGAAATCTTACTGTTAGAAAGTATTTTGTTTCACAGGGGTGAAGACTGTGGGTTACTGACTAACTCTGGCAGATGTGAGATAGGGAATTTATTAAGAGGATGTTGGATAACTTACAGAATCAGCAGGTAGGCTAAAAAACTAGGTTTGAGACCATGCAGCCAAGAAGAGTGCCAAAATTTTGAGACATAACTGGCCTAGTGAGGACCTGCTGCCACCACCAAGCACTGGGCACTTCATCTTGCCTGGCCCCCAGCACTGGACACTGGAAACAGCCACTACTGCAGGAGCTCAAGCTCGCCGCTGAGGCCACCTTGGGTAGAGCCTGGCCACATGCTGCACCCTAGCTGCAAGAGAGGCTGGGAAGACAAATGCATGATTCAGTCTGGGGTTCCATGCCATGTTTAGAAAACTCAAAATAATTGTGGTTTAAACAAAATAGAAATTTATCTCTCTCTTTGTAAAAAAGTTCGAAGGCAAAGAGTGCAAGGCTGATCTGAAGCTCCCTCAACTCTGCCTTTGCATGCTGCCTTATAGACTAATATGGCTGCTTGAGCGTCTGCCATCAAGTTCACATTCCAGCCATCAAGAAAGAGAAAGAGGCAAGAAAGATGACCCCTTCCCTTACAACCACTTCCTGGAACTCACATTATTTATGTCTCAATGGTGGAAACTTGATCATTTGGCCACATCTAGCAGAAAAAGAATCTGGGAAATGTAGTCTTTGCTCTGGGTGGCTCTGTGCCCAGCTAAAAATTGGGGGTTCTCTTACTAAAAAGAAGAGAATGGATATTAGGGGAGACAACTGGTAGTGCCTGCCATAGCAAGTTCCTCGCATTTTTGTCTTCTGTACTGGGATGTGAGCTCTGTTCCCTACGGAGGTCCATAAACGTGTGTGTGTGTGCAGGGTGGGGATTGTCCCAGACACCGACAGGGGCTTCAGAAGGTAGGCAACCAAAAAAGAATAGAGAACACAAAAGAGCCTCTACTCCTTCATTACTGCCCTTAATATAAGTATGGCAAGCTTATTAACCGACACACAGTATCGGAGCGTTTGAACAAAGACAGGGCATGGAGAAAAAGCTCGGCCGCACAGCTGGAAATAGAGGCGTCCATGCCTGGCAAATCTTTGTTTTTTCACCAGTTTGCAGGACCAGCACAAGAGTTCAAATAAAGACTCACATACTAGGTATCTAAAATATTTAAAAGCCATAAATCAAGCTAACAAATTGTTAAATAAATTACGTCCTATCCTTCTATCTTCACAAATGTACCTTCGTAACACTCCGGAAGGCAGAGCGTGAATTTAGAATTCTCAAGCTCCTCTGACAGAATTCGGCATCACAGAGAGAGGCAGTCCCAGCTCGGGGCCTGTCCCTGTGTCCTTCCCACCCTCAGCAGGGGGCCCAGCCGCACGCTCCTAACACCAGCCTGTATCTGCGTTCTGCCCACTGCCCGGGCCCCAAGCAGCGACCCCTAGGCCACCGGCTGCACAGGCCACCCTTGAAAGGGTGGACTATGGGAACAGACCCACATGGGCTCTGGAAGCGGGCTTGGGCCATTTGGGCAGGGATTCTGGGGTCCTGAGTACCGGGAGGGAGGTCAGGTGGGGGTAGGCGTGGGGACATCGGGACACTGATCGTCAAGATTCTCGCCCCAGGGATGCGGAAGGTTGGGCAGGCGTCTCCAAAGGGCAGGGCCCCGGGTCTTGGAAGAGTCCTGGATCACACTGCCACACTGACCGGCAGGCCCGCTGTGAAGTGAACTGATAGAATAACTGGGAGCTCTCTTGAGTTTTCTCTATTAGATCTGGAGTCTGGAGAGGGCCTCTGGGTTACCGACTATAGGAGAGGGATTTCTTTAGCTGGGACTCTGCGTCGGGAGCAAGATTCCGCACTAAACGTCTATCTCCTCACCTCTGGCAACAAACCCAAACTAAAAAACCAAAACCAAAATAGAACAAAACAAACCAGAAATCCCTCTTCCGTCCGCGAGCGCTCAGCCTTTCTCTCCGTTTCCTCCTGCTCTGACGCCCTCCAATCAGGATCTCCCCTGCGTCCGCCTGCGATCCCCGTTCACTTTCTCCCTCCGCCTCCTTCCTGGCTCTGGGCTTCATCCCTCCATAGCGACAGGGAAAACAACACAACACTGGGGCAGATGAGAGCTGAATTTCAGAGCCCTGCTGAGAAGAGCAGGCTAGCAGGGGGGCCCGGAATTTCCATCACGAAACAGACCAGGGGAAAAGCTTAAAATTTTGGAGCAGTGATGGGGAAAATTTGGGACTGGAAGAAGGGGCATCTCAAAAACCCAGTGGAGGTTGATGTAAAAGGAATAAGGGGGCCTGGCTGGTGGCGTAGTGGTTAAGTTCTCGTGCTCTGCTTTGGCACCCCGGGTTGGCCAGTTCGGATCCCAGGCATGGACCTAGGCACCGCTCATCAAGCCACGCTGTGGCAAGCATCCCACGTATAAAGTACAGGAAGATGGACATGGATGTTAGCTCAGGGCCAGTCTTCCTCAGCAAAAAGAGGAGGATTGGCGGCAGATGTTAGCTCAGGGCTAATCTTCCTCAAAAAAAAAAAAAAAAAAAAAACGGAATAAGGAGGGGGCCCCTGCAAAGTTGTTAAAAGGTTAATATAGATCCCCTCACCAACGCGGCACAGCGCATGGCCATCCCAAAATACAGTCAGCACCCCATGGGAAGAGTTATTAGCAGAGGGAGAAATGGTGGTGAGCAGACACCAGGAAAACTGAGATCCCTCTTCTGGGATCTCAAAAAGGGTTAATATTTTTGTGAAGCGAAACCCCAGCATTTTAGACCTGGTGGGATGACAAGGGGTTGACACTCCCAGAGAGCAACCTAGGGTAGCTGGGAAGGGTGTGGTCCCGAAATTGCTTTATTTAGGAGCATGGAAAGCCAGTAAATGTACTTCTGGCCACAAGACAGGACAGGTGAGAAAAAAGAAAGGAAGGAGAGCTGGTTTCTGCTTCCTGGAGAGGAGGTGTGTTACGGATCTCCCGGGGAGCGCACACACGCCTCTCGTAAATGTATATGAGCCCTGATTACTTGGCTCACGCTCCCCACCCCACGGCGTTCCCGGTGGCTGGCTCCCTGACATTCTGGCACTCAGGCTGCCAACACCTGCCAACAACAAGGAAGCTGGGTATCGTGGCTGCAGCTTCTTGGAGGCTACTTATGAAAGAGATGACTAAGCCCTGGGGGCAGGAGGAGGGTGCAGCTCACGCCTAGCTCAGCAAGAACTGGTATGCTATCAACTCCATCCAATTCAGCTTTGACCAAGTGCCAACCATGCGCCAGGCGAGTCCCTGGGGATGGGAAGACGACGAGGCGTGGTCCCTGCTGGAGAGGACCAGGCATGCCCATAGGAACTGTAATCAGAGGCATGAATCCGTGAAAGAGGAGAATAAAGAATCTGGGAGTGGAAAGGATTTCCTGGGGGTACAGTGATGGAGGCAGGAGGAGGAGGAAGGGGACCAGCTCCATTTTTATAGTCAGGCTAAGAGTTGCAGAGACTTCCTGAAGCACATCCTCATCCTCACACACTCTTATCCAGTCAGTCCGCCCTGTCACCTGAGTGGCCCTCACTCTCTTCCCCTCTTCTCTTACCTTGGTTCAGGTCCTCATTTCTGGCCTTGGCTTTGTACTCATTACCCCCAGACAAATTCCTACAACTCAGGTTGGGATCAGCTCATTCCCCTGCTTGAAAACCTTGTATGGTTTCCCACTGCCCCCAGAATAAAGGCCCCCAGGTCTCTTACACTGCAGTGGGAAGCTGCCTGGGGCAGGGGAGTAGAGTGAGCTTCAGGGTAGGTTTGACTCAATGGCTCAACAATGTCATTAACACCCCTGCTTCTTTATGGATGTCCTTTCTGCCATCCATGGTGTTGTCTTCATCCTTGGGTAGGCTTCACTCATGGTGACAAAATGGCTGCAGTAATTCCTGATCTCACACCCACACTCCATGCGACGTAGAAGGAGAAAGAGAGAGAGTTTCTTTCACTGGAGTTGCTAGCAAAGTCTTCTCCAGTCTCTCAGGTCAGAATTGGGTCACTTGCTCATCCTCAGGCAAGAAGGGATTTTGCTGATGAGTCTATACTGGGGCTATTGGCCCCACCCCTAGGACTGGGGTGGAGTCAACTTCCTCCAAAGTGCATGGGAAGTGTAGGGAGGGTGGATACCCAAAGGAAAATGGGGTTAGTTACCAAGAAGGAATGGATGTTGAGGAGGCCACCACAGTGTCCACGGCAGCACCCGTCCAGCACCTCCTCCCCTCAAGCCCCACCCAGCTACTTCCTGCTCGCACACATGTCGTGTTCTTGGATGTCTCTAAGCCTTTGCACATGCTATCCCTTCCATCTGGGATGCAAAATTTTCAGGAACCAACGAGTGGGGGGGGGGGGGGTGGGCTGTGGGAGATGATTTCCCACACCAACAACGAGCAATTCTCGGGACACCAGCTGGGTCCCTACAGTTCAACTCTATTCTGACACTCGCTACCTGGAGACGGCATCAGATTCTACAGGTTAAGGGCTCAGCCCCACAAGACCGCCCTCCCCTCCAGACGCCAATCGCAAATCCAGGTTGTTACCCGTTCTTTGGACTGGTTCCCATGACCCCCTCCCCAGGTTTGATTAATTTGCAAGAGTGGCTCACAGAACTCAGGAAACTGCCCACTAGATTGCTGATTTATTACAAAGGGTATTAAAGCATACAAATCAACAGGTACATGAAGAGATGCATACTGCAAGGTATGTGGGAAGGGGCTCAGAGCTTCCACGCCTTCTCCAGGCACCACTGTCCCAGCACCTCTGTGTGTTCACCAACCCAGAAGCTCTTTGAACCTCGTCCTTTTGGGCTTTTATGGAGGCTTCATTACACAGGCGGGGTTGATTAAATCATTGCCCATTGGCTATTGATTCAACCTCCAGCCCCCCTCGCCTCCCCAGAGGTCTGGGGGTGGGACCGTTCCGACCCTCTAATCACAAGCTCGGTTCTCCTGGCAACCAGGCTTCATCCTTAGGTTTGGTCCCAAAGTCACCTCATTAACATAACAAAAGACACCTTTGTTGTTCTCATCACTTAGGAAATTCTGAGGGTTTTAGGAGCTCTGTGCCAGAAATAGGTTGAAGACTAAATATATATTTCTTATTATAAATCACAGCATCACAGGACCTTTTCATTCCCTCCCTCGGTGGACACCTACTCATTTTTCAAGCCCTCCCCAACATCATCTTCCCTGTTCTTTAGATACTATGATCACCTTAAGGACAGAAATGAGGTTCTTATTCACTCTCAGTGTAATGCAATACCTGGCACACAGTAGGTGCTCAATAAATGCTTGTCTGGTCAATGAATGTTGCTGATGAGACAACAGTATTTGCAAAGTCTACAACAAGGAGCTAGTGTGTCTTCAAAATCTTGTCCCAAAGTCTCAAATGTAACAAATGTGAGCAGAGTTGTAATGTGTAAAGCCATGATGAGGAAAGGATGGAGTACCCATGAAGTTTGGATAAAGGAGAGTTGAAGGGCAGGAGTTTGTCCGAGTGTCTCCAGCATCATCCCAGAGAGAGGGCTCCCGTGAGGCAGGAATGTTTTAGTCCACTTGGCAGGTCAGTGTATCCTTAAATGGAAAGAGCGATCATACCCTCATCCATTAATCTTCCCATCATACCCTCATCCATTAATCTTCCAACCATTTAGACTATCCTACTGGGAAGAGATGGCAACAGTCAGGAGACCCAGGCACTCCCACCTGGCTGGCAATTACAGTCTCATAATCCTGTAATAAGTTGGCTTTCTGGTTTATCATTCCAATCTACATTTCTTTCATGTGGACTGGTCTCTTAGATCAAGACTACCAGTTGATTCTCCATATCTTTTCTCTTTTTCTTCCTTAGTCACAGAACCCCCAAATTTTAGCTGGTCCCTTGATCACCTAGAATATAGACTGCATTTCTCAGCCTCCCTTGTAGCTAGGTAAGGCCATGTGACTAAATGCTGGCCAATGGCATGGAAGGAAAAGTAACATGTGTGTAACTTCTTGGAAGTGCCATTTGAAAAGGGTAGTGTTTCCTTCTTCCTTTTTCTCTTTCTGCTGGCTGAAATATAGATACACTGGCTGGAGCTGAAGCAGCCATCTTGGACTGTTGAGGAATTTGGAAATGAAACTCATGCATGGTGGAGCAACAAGATAGAAGGAGCCTGGGTTGAATATTACCACAAAATTCCATATCAGATAGCCCTTGATGCCTACCTGAATGTTTGCATAAGAGAAATGCATGTCTATCTTGTTTAAGCCACTTATGACTGGCAGCCAAACCTAATTCTAGCTTACAATCCTCTGGAACTGTGCTGTCATGTACATGTCGCTATTGAGCACTTCAAATGTGGCTAGTAAGCCACACTGGATTTTGACTTAGTACCAAAAAAAGAATGTAAAGTATCATTAATAATTTTTACATTTATGACTCACACCATATTTCTATTGGACAGTGCTTCCCTGGGCTTTGTCATCTTTGTCTGAACTGATGATATCAAACTATTGAACCATGTAATGCTGAGAGATGATCAGAAACTGGGCCCATGCTTACTCACCAAGGTCCAAAGTCTAACCTTACCTCTGGCTCTGTCTTTCTGTCTGTCTGTCTTCTGCTCACTGCACCCCTCGCCCCATTTGCTAAACTACCTGATCTGCAACAAGAATAGATGTAAAGCTTGGTACACAACGTGGTGAAGCCTAGAAGGATCAAGAAAACAGAAGGTGATCGGGAAATTGAAAAGGTATGGCTCTGGAATCCAGACTGTGGTAGCTAGCGAAGGTAGCAGACCAGCCACACATACGTGGACCAGTTTTGTCAGTGGTAGAGAACCAAATTTTAGCCATGCCAAGCCTTCCTGAAAAGCTTTAGAAAGGGATTTTGTATTTGGATCTCTGGGAGAAATACAACAATCTGTTCACATTCAGATGGTCTGTTGATCTGAGGGAGAGACAGGAGCATCTCCGACCTTCTTGGAGCACAGGTCTACGTGTAGAT